ATTCTAACCACAGCCCGTCTTTCTAAACTTGACAACTTGTTGGGACAATTTTGGCTACAACTTGCTACACGCGAGTCGTCTTTCCCCCTATCCACCCTATAATTCTCTTCATCTATGTTTATAATCCCCCCACTAGTAATAATAGACCTGCCTAACGATTTTACATCGATCAAAATTTTAAATTTAAGTTTATTTTCATAAAAGTTTTCGAACATCGAGGAATCAAACAGAGATCGGATTTTTTGTTAACAATATGATTTCTACCAGAAAATACACCGTCTACAAAAACATCTGTCGGTGAATAATTCCCATTTCTCGGTTTATTTCTCGGCTCGTTGATGAAGGACACAGGCGCGTCCGAAAATTCCGAACTTAAAGCCTTTCTTTCCGTGCTTCATTTCTCTTATATGGTTAATAATGAATATTCAATAAATGATTATCGTTCTGATTATAGTGGTACCCTTTCGTTTGTCCATGTTTTATTAACTAACCTATTTTACACACACACACACACACACACAGGCACCCACACACACACACGCACAGACACACACACACACACACACACACACACACACACACACACACACACACACACACACACACACACACATATATATATATATATATATAAATAATCTTATTATGTTAAACGTTATTTTCAGTTTGAGTTAACAACCATTTTTCTTGAACAGTGAAATTAATATTAGCTCGCTAAAATGACAAATACTGCAAAAAAAGCCTTCCTACAGGAATCGAACCAATATCACTTATTTCCAACAGAGAAACCACACATTGTTGCGACGATGTATGTATGTTTTTTATTATATATATATATATATATATATATATATATATATATATATATATATATATATATATATATATATATATATATATATCATGTAGTTATATTAATAAGAAGACAAGAGAAAATATTTTAGTCGATTTTGTCCTCTGAGGGACTTTGTCAAAGCAAAAGTTGGGTTTATTTTGTTGCACGTGTTTATATACAAGAGCAATATACAGCGTGTAAGAAAATAAATCCTACATTTGTCTTGATAAATTCTCTCAGAGGACGAAAAGCATCGGCTAGGAATAGTTTGTTCTCTTGTCTTTTTATTCATTTTGTTCCTTTACAGATATACTGCCACAGAATTACACATTTTATGGATATATGTATATGCATCATTCCTTATGCATAATTTCCGATTTCTTTTTGAATTTGTAGCTCTGATGAATTGGATCGTGATTACGATTCCAATGTAATAAATTAGAACCATGGAATATTAGTGTTTGAGACTTTTATATTATATTCTTACTCTGTCCTGGAAATTGACTTCTCGATTCTATCCTGTTAGGAATATATATATATATATATATATATATATATAATTTCATTTTAGGATATTAAAACAAAAACCAATTAAAAATCGCTATCCAATTACAATAATGTTTTAAAGCTACAAATCTGTCTCCTCGGGTGATGTTAATCCACTGGTGAATGAACGATTATTTTAATTTCAAAACGTAGAATACTTCCTGCATAGGTTTGTGTGCTTTTGCCGTGATTAACCAATCAATTGTGACCTAGGCTAAATTCAAACTCACCAAAAATTTTTTTATTATAAGAAGTTGTCTGCATGTAAACTATATATATATATATATATATATATATATATATATATATATATATATATATATATATATATATAGAGAGAGAGAGAGAGAGAGAGATAGATAGATAGATAGATAGATAGATATGAAGCTTAAAAATAACGATTTTAGCTTGTTCGTATGTTCATGGAAGTGATAGAAGATCTTCGTGTCTCTTCAGTCGGGACGGCCTCTTGTCAATTCCATATGTTTTATTTCAAATGTTGCTTTTCTTTGAACCTTCATCAAAGAAACATGAAGAGGCAAGATGACTTTCAAATAAAGCAGATGAGTAGAAAAATGTTTCAGTCTTGTCCGAATGGTTAACCGCTACGAAAATGGAATCTGGGAAATGAGTTCAAATTCCAGCTACTTCCTAAGAAAAAAAATAATCTCTGAAACCAACTCTGCTAACAGGTTTAGGTGAGTCAGTACTCCATGAATGGTACCATGTAACACATTAGAATCTGATAGACAACAACTGGAGAGGAAATATGCCCTGCTGATTAACCTCCATTGCTTTGAGAAAAGCCATGATGGAAACGTCATATTACGCCGACGAGTAAGAATGATCGTGTTTTAATTTGTTTCATGTGATTGCGTTTCATTGTATATTGTTGTAGCATAGCTACGGACCATAACGGGCATGTCCTCATTTACATAAATACAGTAGTAAATACTGTATGTTGGTCTGCAGTTGGAGATGCGTCTCCAGCTGTCATGGTCAAACTTACTGCCTCCTTATACGACAACTATGCTGAACTAAACTTAGTTACAGTTTCTGGGAGAGAACGCGTTATCTAGCGTTTTCAACACTTTAAACAAGGCCAGCATGTTTAAACCCTCGGTCATGATGACTTGTGAATTCGTGCTAACACAATCAACGACGGCTTACCGAATTTCACTCACAAGGCACGAGTACAACCCGTGGTATGGTTTTCAGACACTTTTCAAATGTGCTGCACGCTAGGATCGCCTTCTCTAGACTGATAACATCAAGACGTTACCTTCCTGACAAATGAACTCTGGTGAGATTTGAACCCGGGTCTCTAACTAAACGTACCCAATTGTGTGGCGTTGTACGAAGGTAAGAAAAGGCAAATCTCTGTCTGTTATATCTCGACACACCTGCAACAATATTAGCAGCAGAAAAATTTAAATGAAAGAAAATCTAATAAAACCTTTTACCAAATACAAAAAACTAACAAAAAAGAAAAATGCATGAAAATTATACAAATTAATTAAATTAATGAATAGTAAAGAAGTATCTAAATAAGTAAACCAGATCTCACACACACACACAGACAAACACACACACACACATATATATATTCTGTAGTCCCAATATTGATCATTTTCCACTTATAGGTATGCCAAATCTAAAAATTCATATATTTACGTTGGAATCAACAGGAGACTCCACCACACATACACATACAGACACATATACGCACACACACACACACATATATATGTTTATATGAGTATACAGAATATATATATATATATATATATATATATATATATATTCATGGGTATACACACACATATATATATATTCATGGGTATATATATATATATATATATATATATATATATATATATATATATATATATATATATATATATATATATGATGAAGTTTGAAGAACTAACCACACGTATACAGAGTCCTGGAACATTATTCCCAAACGACTCTCCGCAGGTTTTGAATTCAGAGTTGGTCTTTTTCCTAGTCCAGTTGCCATCCAAGGCTTTAGAACTCAGTCTGTCCTTCTATTTACTTATAGCGAAGTGGGGGAAGAGGTATTAGCACATAAGTGTATGTAATGAAATTGAACTCGGCTCTCTGATTCTCAATCTGCTATCCACTACTCCACTGTGTTCACATAATATATATATATATATATATATATATATTTATATGTGTGTGTATATATATATATACACACACACACACACACACACACACACACACACACATATATATATATATATATATATATATATATATATATATATATATATATATATATATGTCAGAAAAAGAAGTTGAAAATATAACTGTAGTCTTTAAGAGTTCTTAAAAGCATTGTCAAATTCTTTTCTAATATTTTTGCCCGTTTGGTATAAACCTTAATTACTTTTTCTCTCACACACACACACATACACACATACACAAACAAACACATACAAATATATATATATATATATATATATATATATATATATATATATATATATATAAAATGAAAGTAAATTTTATATATAGAATGTTTAATGACTTTCCTTTAATATTTACAATCATATCTTAAGATAGAAACGTGAAGGTTGTGATATTACGTAGTCTTATTAACATAATTTTTTCTTCAGGTGGCGCTGCTATCACCAGCATCAAAATGGCGTCTCTGTGTTTGAAATCAGGGTAAAATGGCCACACATATTGACGTGGGTAGATAAGAAAACTCTATGAAGTTTGCACTGGGTGGGCGTTATGGAGCCTCTGATTTATCTTTTGTAAAATCCGAACTCAAGATCTTGGAAGAATCGGCACACCCAAATCCTCCAGCAGAAAGAATGGAAGAGATGAATGCCATTTTTTTTGTTTTCCGTTGTTATTATTATTATTATTATTATTATTATTATTATTATTATTATTATTATTATCTCTTTTCCACGTTGCTCTCAAAAGAGGGTGATTCTTTGGAGATAGTACTTTCAAGAAGTACACTGTAGACATCTTGTTATCATTCAGTATTATGAACCGTGTTCAACTTGGTACAGCTTTAAAGGCTGATAGCCCTTGAGCAAGTCAAGCAGCGAATCATCACAAACTGTGTAAAGAAACGCCTGCCACTGGTTTCATTCTCTTCTTACTTACTGAGGAATTTAAAGCATTTGACTATAGCGCTTCTTATTCTTGATAAAATATTCCATGCGCAAAGAGCTGCAATTTTTGTAATCCTTGGAGAGACTTTAAGGTCAAGTACACTTATGGTGACAATAAGGCATATCCTCCTAGAGAAAAGAAAATCAAGTAATAAATATTGTTGGTTGGTTGGTTTTAGTTAGCAGCATATCTACCTCTAGGGAGTATTTAATGCCGAAATCTATATATTTTACGCAATTTTATTATTATTATTATTATTATTATTAAGGGGGTCATAACGGTTTTTGTGATACAGTTTTTACTAATTAACCCATATATGGAGAGAAATGAGGTGGATGCATACCTTTCTCAAGGCTATTTGCATATAAATGAATATAACGATCCCAACTGCAATTGAAACAATTGATTAACAATTCCCAGTTATTATTCCTCGCCCCACCTGCACATTGAATCTTACAGAACTTGGTATTCCTAAGTGGTCACCCATCTAGGTACTGAACAGGCTTGACGTTACTTAACTTCGCTTATCGTACGGGAACCGGTGTTTGAACGTGAACAATAGTGAAAAATAAGACGGTTGATGGAATTAGCATATATGTTATGATTAAATAATCCGATCAGTAAACCAAGCGTAAATACTGGTAGTATATAGGAAGAAGGAATATACTATAATTTATCCGAACTAATTTTCTCTTCTTGATCACTATAGGTTTTGTTATAGACACAGGCATTTCGGCCATGGAACCTATACAGTGGAGCAATTCTGAGAGAATTAGAAGCCCTATTAAGAGTCATTCTTAGCGACCACAATCTTAACAAACATGATATGCAGATGACTCATTGTTGATACCAGACGCCGAAAAGAAACTACTAGAACGTTTACAGAAGATATTGAAGGAAAGCGAGAAGAAAGGACTAAACATCAATTGCAAGAAGACTGAATGCATGGTTAGTTAGCAAAATGAACATCGCAACAATTTCAATTTTGGAGATATCAAAGGCAAACAAGAACAACAATTGAAATATCTGAGAAGTGAATTAACGGAGAACGGAAAGTCCGACGCCCAAATCCGAAGGCGCACTGAGATAGCCAAAGATGCCTACCAAAAACTAAGCAAAGTATAAAGAATATCGTTAGAAACAAAAAAAAAACTAGTACTGAACTGTTATGTAATATGAGCTCCCCTATATGGCAGTAAAGGCTAGACAGTCTCCTTACAGAAGAAGATACTCGAAGCAGCAAAAATGCGGTTCTACAGAAGGATACTGAGAATACTATGGACTGAACAAGTGAGAGACGACGAAGTTTTAAAGAAAATGGAAACAAGGACACTTAACATCAAGAAAAGTCAATTGAAATTGATTGAAGACAAGAGGGAGAGACGAAAACAACGCATCTAGCGAACTTGAGTAAGGAAATGGCTAAAAGCACTAGGAGAGATAACAAAAAGACAAACATCCAGTCTGATAACATCATAAAGTCTCCTTACTGACAAAACGACCATGATGAGAATCGAACCCGGGGCTCATGGTTAGAATGCGAACATTCCAACCACTCAGCCACGTGCCCATAATCATAATAAAAAAGCGACCATAAATTGACCATAAATCGAATTTCTTGAGTCTCCCGCATCATTACATAGTGCGGTTATTCTCTCCTATTTGCCGTGTCTGTTCAGAACGTGGGCGATCAGGCTCTCCATAGCTTCCTATTCCTTATGGCCCTTGCTAGTATTCATATCTTTACCAAGTCTCCCGTCTCAAGTTCCGCCAGCCAAGCTTGTCAATTAGGTGACCCGCTGCCTCCCGCCAAGTCTCCTGCACTTAACGCTCTTCTTCTTTATGCACATTGCCCTTTCAAGATGTAAGCGATCTTGGCCCTCCACATCTTTCTATCCTTTGTAGCTCTTAATAAATTTTGTCCTTTTTGCTATTTCTCCCAGTTCTACCATCCATTTACTCAAGCCCATCAAGTATGTTACCTGACCTCTTTCTTGAAGTCTGTCCTGTGAGTATCAGATTTTCCAAGCCCTCTTTCCTCATTACGCGCCCCAGAAATTTCAACTGTCTCTTTCTGGTATTAAGTATAACTTTACTTTTTGTTGCTATTTTCTCTAAAAGCTCGTCGTTGCTCACATGCTCGATCCATGGTATCCTCAGCATCTTTCTGTAGAACCACATTTCTGTTGCTTCAAGTCTCTTCTTCATCTACATTGTCCAGAATTTACTGCCGTATAGGAAGAAAGATATCACGGAATATTTCAATACTATTTTTTTTGTTTCTAACGAAACTTTCCTGTCAAGAATATTCTGCTTAGCATTTAGAATGCGTGATTAGCCATTCAAGTCCGTCTTCGGATCTCAGTGTCGGACTTTCAGTCCCAAATTAGAACACTTCCCAGATATTTAAATTTCTCTGCCTAGTTGATTTTACTATCCTCGACTTATAATTTGCCTTTTGGGCTCATCTTTTTGTTGATGACTTTGCATTATTTCTTCTTGTATTTTATGCTTAGTCCTTCTTCTTGCTCTCTTTCGTTACATTCTGTAGGAGGTTTTTTAGTTTCCTTTCCGTGTCTGCTTTCATCACTGTATCATCTGCATATCTTAATATTATTAAGATTGCAGCTGCCAATGATGAATCCTGGTAGGATTTCCAGTTCTCTCAGAACTACGTCCAAGTTTTTTAGGTCACTTAATACTCTGCTTAGCTTTTGGAATACATCTTTAGTCTTCCCAATTGAGAATTAAATTCTCCAAGAACTCATTATATGTCAAAGAAATTTCGGTTGTCTCTTTATGATTCTGATTATAAGTTGTTATGGTAATTTACCTACGCACGCATGGACTCTCACAGCTATAAATAGAAGCAGGTACTTACCTTTTGGAGATTAAAGTTTCCAGCAGCTAGGTCTGACAGTAGGACCGAACATTCTTGCTGTAACACTCTCGTTTGTATATGTTTGTATTACTAGATGTTGTCAATATATTTGTTTAAATCAATTTTCACTTTTGTGTCTTTTATTTCTGGCCCTAACGAGGCCACAACAATTTTTTAATTGAATATTAATTTTTTGTTATGGTAATTTTCCAACGCACGCATTGATTGCACACAGCTATAAAAAAAGCAGTAAAAGTCAAACAAAAGATTTAAGGTCTGACAGTCGGATCGAACATTATTGCTGTAACATTCGGTTAAATATGTTTGTATTACTTGAGAAAAGAAATTAAATTTGTTTAAAATCAATTCATTTTTGTGTCTTTATTTTTGGTGCTAACAAGGCCATAAGTGTTATGACTCTTTGTGAAAACCACACTTGTTTTAACCATTTAACCCCGAACAAATCAATAATGTCACTAAGACGCAATAGATTACTGGGTGTGAGAGAATATAATTAAGGAGAGAGGATAATCAAAGAATATTAATTAAGGAGACAGAAGATATCGAAGATAAAATTTAACTGGAAGCAAGAATCGGAAGTGAGTTCCGCAAACGAGAAGTGCGAGAGAAGAAACTGTTAGCAGAGAACTTTCGGTTACATCAAGCTATTTGAACTGTAAAATGATGAGACCTTGCAGCCAATCTAGTACTGCGCTTAAATTCATAAAGTTTAGTTATCATAGACAAAAGTCCATCAATAGAATTAACATAAAAATAATGATAGAAAACGTTCTTCGAACCTTGTGAACTGGCGCTATACAATCACAAACAAAGAATTGTATCAAATAACAGAAACAACATCACTTGAGGACTTTCGGTCGCATCAGCAACTAAAATGGATATCACTTGTAAATCTAAGAGAAAATAATGACATAATTAAGACTTTGATGTTTCGTACTGCTTCAAATAAAAGGTTAAGAAGGAAACCTACGTCATTACTGGAAAGAGCGATAACAGCTAACAGACTTCGTTAAATTTATTTTCCAGAAAAATTGTTTTAAGAGAAATATTTTATAAATTTCAACTGAGGGTAACACAAGCTGCTTGGTCAATGAAGCCAAATGTATCCTCATAAGGAAACGGCTAATATTATCCTTACTATTTTTCTTAAGACTTCCTCGTTGCTACTCACTATGTCCATGAAAATTCTCAGCATCCTTCTGTAGAACCACATTTCTGTTGATTCCAGTTTTCTCTTCATCCTTGCGGAAATTGTACAACAACCGATGTCATATAAGATGATCGACATCACATAGCAGTTCATCATTCTTTCCTTTTGTTTCTAACGAAATTTTCCTGTTTCTTAATACTTTGCTTAGCTTTTGGAAGGCATCTTTCGCTATCCCAATGCGCATTCGAACCTCGTTGTCGCACTTTCCATCCAATGTAAAAAAAACAAAACAAAAAAATCCTCAAATACTTAAAGTCTGTACTTGTTTGATAGTACATTTCCAGTTCATAGATCACATATTATTTTTTTCTCTCTTGCTGACAACAATATTTTCTTTCTTCCTACTGCTGATAGTTCGTCCTTTCTTCACGCTTTTCTTTACTACCTTTTACGGGAAGTCTTGAATCGCCGATATAGAGTCTAAATATCAGACTCAAATGAATACAAATATAAAAGATATATAATTAATTGAAACAACAGCTTTAGTTTCCTTTTTTAGACCGGTCAGTTTAGACCCACTGGAAGTGACAGGGTGTAATCGATTTCTATTTTTTTCCTCAGATTAGGTCATTTGCAGTGGTGTGCAGTAATATGAATCTATTTTCAGGGTGTATGATGAAATTTGTTTGGCCTTGAGTCATCCGTGATTGCATCAGATTTTCATCACGCCCAGACACTATTGTCTCGACTGTCGATTAGTTGTCCTACGGCCATTGTCTGCGATGGACGTTACTCCAAGGAAGCGTACGAAAATTGTAACGCTGCACGAACACACTGGCAAGCCTTACCAGTGAGCAAATCAAAAAGTACTATAGACTGGTCGGAAACTCTCTCCTGATTTAAATCCAATCGAGAATCTGTGGTCAATCTGCAAGGAACGAATTCGTGGAATGGACATACGAAGTACTAACATGTGCACTGGGTCATGTTTCATTGGAAAAATAAGAAAAAAATAAATAATAACGGAATATATTTGTTTTGTTCAAATTAATTTGCAAAAAAATATATATAAAAAATTAATAAAGTATTGGATATATTTTCAATGTTTGTTTTATTTTTTTTGTTATGAAAATCAAAATTTTTGATTTTTTTTATATTTTTATAAAATTTAATTACATATATCGAATTTAAATTTCTTCTAACCAAATTTAATTAATTAAATTTTACTAATTCTAAATATTATTATTTTAAAAAAATGAATATTTTCGCAAACAAAAAATTGAAATTTATTATTTTTAAAATTATATTTTCAAAAAAAAAAATTTATATTCCAAAAAAATTTTAAACAAAATGAAAAAAATATTTAAGTTTATTTTGAAAAAATGTATAAAATTTATTTTTTTATTAAACAGACTTTAAAAAGTAAGAAATTTTTGAAAAAAGACATTTGAAAATGGTCTTAATATACAAATAAATTAAAACATTTCATTTTTGAAAA